TTGGGCTCAAAGTTGCACACAATATGGAAATCATATCAGTATTCATACAATGAAATGACAATAATGTGATAAACCATAAAAAGGTATGCAATAAAGGTATTGCATTACAGCTATATTATGACTCATTCAATATACCTTTATGGACAACACTGACCACGGTATTGAACTTGATCAAGTACAATCTAGCATGGTCATTCTTGATCTGCTTCTGATCGTTAATAAAACTGTTAAAACCTCCCAAAACATCACTTTTCTTGGTCCCCATACTTCCGCTCTCGTCTAATATCACTATTATTAAGGTCTGAGACATATTTGTATTGTAGACACGAATATCGATTCAAATATGATTTGCACCGAAATTATGAACTATTTTCACAAATATTTTATTCTGTGATAAACAAGTCGTATATAATTTGAGTGTATGTATGGCACACAACAGTGAGTTATACTGAAAATACTGGGATTACTGTTCACTTCACAGTTATAAAATGAATGCCAGTGCGCACAAAGTTGCCTAGGCTATTATACTAGCGCACATTTTTAAATTGTTAATAAATACTGTGAAATAGTCACTTGAAATTCGTTTGAAATCATAATCTTTTCCGGTCATAGTATTTTAAATATTTCCATATTTGTGAGTAAACAAGCACAAATAAATAGTTTCGAGAAATTTCACTGATCATGTGTTTATTTATTAACATAGGTTTACTTTATTACACCTATAAAGTGCAATGTATTATCATTTACATTTAAATGATTACTTGATTACAACCTTTTTGGACTAATTATCTATAATTGTATGATACTTGATATTGATTCTTTATAAGGTATGCGTGCTCAATTTCATTATCTACAGTTAATGTACTCTGTAACAATTATATGAAATAATTGAAATTCCCATATATTAAAACTAAATCTTATACTTTGTATAAATTTAATATAATATTATATAATAACTATTATACACACATGTATTTTATAATATATTTTGGTTGATTTTACATGAAATTACTTTATTACAGTATTACATAAAAATTTCAATTACACTGTAGTAACAATATACAGGTATGAGTCAATATTTGTAGCCTAATAATATTTTACATAATGAGTATAAGTTTTGAAAGCACCTGTCGTTATTGGTATGGTTTTTATTTGTGAATGTCATTGAAAACAGCATTGCATCATAATTAGTTTTTTAAACAATTTTAATATTACATAAAACATAAAACAAATTGTTTTAACTCTGATATAATAATGTCTTATTTTATTAAATTTCAAACCCAAAATGAATTTATGCATGGACAATTTATTAAAAAATATATTTATTTGATTTACTTTTTATCTTATATTAAAATACAGTACTTATTTAATAAAATTAGAAATTACAATAAATAACCAATGAAATGCAATCATTTATTGTGTATTTCATACATTGAAAATGATAAAGAATAATTATATAACTGTAGAATATTATAGTGTTTTATATTTTATATAAACGCTAAGTTAATAGTGTAATTTATTTCAAACAATTTCAATATTTAATTAATTAATTATTATATACACATCATAATTCATATGATTCATAATCATAAGAATATTACTCTAAACGAATATCATAAATATGAAATTAATATAAATAGTTACAATATATATATATAATATAATATTTATATTATAAATAGTTGTAGTAAAATGATTTGTTTAGCAATTGTTTATCAAATTATTTTTTTTCAAATGTAATTGTAAGCAAGTTTTAAAAAATGACTCACAATTATATACCATTTACAAATATTTAGACAAAAGTATGTATTATGTACATTTTTCAAATATCACTCACGAGTTGGCAAATGATTAATAAAGAAGTTATTTATTCTGTATTGAAATTATCATTATTTAGTGGTTTTTGGCACCAAACAAATTACAATGTGTTATATTGTCTATATTTCTTTCTGTATTATCATTAGTAATGATTCATTAGTGATGATTCAATACTGATATGATTAATTATAAAATAAATCATTATTAAAATATTATATAACTCTAATTAAATTTTCTTAAAATTAAGACTTTAATATTATACTTAAATAATATGATGAACACATTGCATATACCGTATGTATTACGGTATATCCTATACCTTGATTTTCAGGAATAGGTAACAAAAATACTAAATGCATGCTAATTATCTAGGATTCCATCAAAACTGGATTTTAAAAATTAATTTTCAAGGATTTTTGCCAATTTATCTGTTATATCAATACTTATTTTAGCATCAAATATATTTTGTTAACCATTTCCACATAATATAAGACGCATTCATATAAGTCATAAAATAGTCTCAAATATAATATAATAGCAATAATGTGTTCAAAGAATGATAAGTTAGTCCTAAACAGTATTTTTAACCCATTTCTGCCCACAACTGAAGACAATGAGACGACTGGTAACGGTATGATCAGTGCATTAGAAATATTTGAGATAAATACTGATAATAATTATTAATTAATATATCTTTGATTAGACGTTGAGATCATCGGTGGTCCTGAAGAAGAATTAGCCAAACAGTTGGAAATCGATGCCATAAATGCTGCCAATTGTGCAGAATATGACCGATCATTGCAACTCTTAACTGAGGCTATTAATGCAGCGCCCAATAGGGCATCATGGTCAGTTAGTTCATTTTGTAAATCACAAATAAAAAATATATTTTAATTTATAGTTTATACCATATTTTATATAATTTATTATTATTACAACTTACTAATAATTATTACTATTAATTACTAATATTAACAATTACTACTAATAAATGAAATTATTTTGATTTAAATGAAAATAATCAATAATATCTATGAGAGCTTTATACCTGTACAATTACTATATACTTACTTTATAATATTGTATAATAAGTTAGTATGTGACATATTAAAACAATATTATTATTGTTTTATCAATATTTATCATAAACCTAAAATGTTATTTAAGAGCAACTATTAATTGGATTGATTTATAGCTACAACAATAGGGCACAAGTGTATCGAGTGAAAGGCAATACCGATCGTAAGGCAATATTTGCATAATAAATATTCATTGAATATTACTTTATTTATAAAATTTGAATTTTAGTTGCCTTTCAGGACCTAAATAATGCAATTAACCTGAGCTCAGGTAAAGGTCTGGTCGCTCGACAAGCATATTGTCAACGAGGGCTCATTCATCTGCTTAATGATAGGCAGACTGAAGGTCTGCTCTTAATTAAAATATATTGCATACGAGTTATTAGTGAACAAATAATTATTGATAAACAGGTGTTGAAGACATGAAAGTATCGGCCAAATTGGGCAATGAATTTGCGAGGGCACTGGTCGTCCAAATGAATCCATACGCCGCTCTCTGTAACAAAATGCTCAGAGATATGATTGATAAATGTCGTAATGGAGAGGAACAGTAGCTTATAAATACAGATCAATAATTGCAATTTTATTATTCCATACAAACAAATATTATTTCATTTCTACTTAATATTACTGTACATGTATGCCAACATACTATTATTTTCAATTAAAATATTTTTGTAATAATTCAATGACTTTAAAATAGGTTTATTTTTTTAAATTTATATTAAATATAATGTTGACATAATATAAAAGGTTTTAGTTCAATAATGTTTTACTTGCAATAAATATCTTATTGATATCATTGAAAACATTATATTATACTTAACTCATTTATATTTTCTATATTACTATTTATATAAATATGGTATTATTTGTTATATTGTTATTTGAAAAATTATTACATTGTTTTCATATCTGAATAATCAAGATCTTTATGAACATTAACTAATTAGTACACCCACAAACATTAGTAATTACCGGTACCTGTATTTTGTTTCAATATCCATTAGTTTTTATTTTAGTTAATTTTTTAATTGAGTTGTGGTATGAATTAATATGCTATATTAAATCGTACAAATGTAATTATTTTGTAATCAATAACAAAATAAATATAATTGAAAACTTTAATATTTTAATTTTTAATTTAATAAATACAATTACATGAAATTCTAAACGTTATTTACAGTACTCTATATACAAAATATTAATTATTAAAATATGTTCACTATTTCATATCAAATGAATGTTAGTGTCATTTTCATTTAAGGCTCATTAAACTTATGATCAAATTTAATATTGATTTGAATCCAAGATAACTAATAAATTAAATAAAACACAATTTCTAACTTTAAATTAATTTTTAAATAATCACTGTTTTATAATTATTTTTAATATCTTAATTGTCTTATAACAAATGTGGAAATAATGTATACTTTTTTGTAGTAGAAAAATATTTTTAAAAATTATAACCATTTCTAGGAATAAGTTATGGAGTGGAAGATGAAGGCATGAGAGATAAATATACAGTACTTTATATACGAGTAGTAATTATATTTAGAAAATATAGTCTATGAAGTAGTAAATAATTAAAATCCTCTTTTTAGTCGATTCGTTAACTAAAATATTCATCTCATTTATTGTGAATCTTATGTTTTATGTGCGGATAGAGAATGAGAGAGAAAGAGAGAGAGAGA